CGTTCCGTTTCTCGCATGATGCGCATAATGCGTCGTTTATCCTTGTTGCTCACCAAATGTTAAACAAGGACAATGGATGCATCATGCGCATCATGCGAGATACGGAACGCACCTTTTGTTATGCTTATGCTCTGTTATGCATTTCATGTGTGAAGCCCTTTAAGCAGTAAGCGAATCGACCAATTACAATAGAGATCGTAAGACCATAACGTAAACAGTAGCGAATCCAACATGTTGATTTCCTTACTGCTTAAATCTTACGTCTAAGTTTTTATATGTGCCAAGGCTTTTAAATTTTGAAAGCCCACACAGTTGACACAAACAGACGAAAGTTCGAGCGCGGTCTCTTCAAAAGAATTCACTAATCTACGGGATGTATAATTTATTGTCATGAGAAGCGCATCGACTATCGTGTAAGTTTGCGATCAACGGGAGCTTTCGTTGAAAATTTTTCTAAAAAGCTCCTTCATGAGCGACAAACTCGCTCGGTCAAAGGTGCAGCGAACGTGGATTCTACGACAGGAATGTCGCTATTCCAGCAGCAAGTTGCTGTTCCTAGACGTTTTATCGCATTGAATAATTCGTCTTCAAATTAAATCGCTATTTTTTTTTCGCTGTCTCTTTGCACCGGAATGTACGTCGCTCGCCGTCTTCATCCCGACGCGATAAATCGCTCGCGAGCCATCCGCGTCATAGTCATTCCGAAACGTACAGGCGTCTTCATGGATGACCATGACGCGTCATAGTCGTCGCTATTGTCAATGTCACTCGATCAGCAGTTTGAACGCGTCCTTATCAGCGCGGGACACGTGTCGAGCATCATCTCCACCATCCGCTATCACGCTATCTTGGTCCCAGAAAGCAATCGCTCTTGAACTTTCTCTATCGTATTTACGATACAGAAACACATGGAATCGTTGTTGAGGTCGACGAACGCGTGTATGATTTTGTTTTTCACGAAACCAATGGAATATATGTAAGCGGGTGGGACGACTTTTACGGTGGCGGCGACGACAACGATCCTGAAGTCCTGTGGGCGAGGGCTTCGCAACGAGGTAGCGGTCGGATGTCGGAGAGCAGTCGGGGTGTTGAAATCTAGTGGTCCCACGTACGGTAGCCGACGATAATGACATCGCGACGCGACGCGACCGTTTACTTGTTGTGCACCAGGTTCAGAAATTCCTCGCGGGTCTTCGGATCGTCCCGGAACACGCCCAGCATCGTCGAGGTCACTGTCTTGCTGTTGATCTTCTGCACACCCCTCATCACCATGCACATATGCCTGAAACATATGCAAAGATTTTTTTCCTTTTCCCACAGTGGGTGTGTTGTGTGTGCGTGTCGTGTATATAATTAATAAAATCGCGATAAGAAAATCACAAAAAAGAAAAAAAAGAATCATACCGTTAGAGCTCATGTTACAAATAACTTCAGTAGATTCGATTTGTTGTCTTCTCGCGCCGAGAGATAGATCTTATCACGAGCGGGAGGATTTGATTAACTAATGCGTATCGTATGGCGAGTCGGGTTCTCCGGCTTGGGGAAACACGCGTAAGCCCCGATGTCGCAACACGACGACCGCGTATCGCTCGTACTGATTCGTAATAGCTCCGATTTCTGTTTATCAGTTTATATCATTTTCATAGAATAAATTGGCTTATTCTCGCGGTACAAGTCGAGCGGTAAAGTCGCGTCGGTCGCGTTTATAAATTATTTGCGCAGACCGACGAGAATAGCGTCGGTCTTTGCGAGAATAGCATCGTATTAGTAGTTATTAATTATCGGTTTATCACTCTCGCGGGATAAATCGAGCGGCTCGATGGTGGCAAGACAGTACTATGAAGTATGAATTATTCGCGTTCGGAGACTGGTAAAAATAGTTTCGGTGCACGCGAAAATAACACTGATAATAACATTATTCGCGCGACAAGATGACAAAGATACCTGATACATCAGGAGTAAAGATAAATCTTGGCAATAGCGTTACGAACTATTTGCGCGGAGTCTCTCAAAAAACTCGTCAAAGGCTACTTCAATTATCACTAATCACTAATACCTCAGAAAACGCAACTGTAAATTGAGGAAGCACGTGGCGTGATCTTCCTGAATTATTCACGATTGTGTTGGGTGTGTTCGTGTTTTCCATATTAATCATACGAAACGATTAATAACCCCGGCTGACCATTGAGGTGACACTCGTGCACCCCCGCTCGAGATTTATTAGTCGTGCTTATGCATACGGCATGTAACGAACAACCGGATTGTTACGTGAATGTTTTAATTATACACAACGTTCGCGCGGCGATACAAGGTCGTGTTCCTTCGCGATCGTTCCACCTGCGAAAACTATTCCATGAATTGTTGATTGAAAGGAAAGCGGTCTTAACTGGCGAACTGACTCGACATCGCAATACCATCCGAAATATTAACATATAATTAAGAATCATCCTATATCTGTCCCGAGACAATCTCGAGAGTCAATCTAATCAGTAAATGATTGACTCGAGACACTACCATGTGTCCTGATACTATAATGTACACATTGTATGATTTTGAAAGTTATATATTATGTAGTTTTATTATTTTATAATCATTTTTATTTTTTTCCCGTTCGATCCGTTTATTTTTTTTTTTTTGTAAATTATTCATTACGGTCGTTTTGTTTTTAAGTGGTCTTATTTCTGTCAAACGAAACGATCGCTTCGTCTTTCATAATTGAAGCAATTAAAATTTTGTGATATATTATAGAATTTTATACGTACACTCCCTCAATCACGACAGCTACTCCTGCAGGCTGCACAGCCTTTGTGACCGCTATCGCAATTTGCTTCGTGAGTCGTTCCTGCAGCTGGAGTCGTCTGCTGAAGATCTCCACGATTCTGCGGACAGGAAATTCTCTTCTCAAAATCATTCTTAGAAACCACCGAGAAATACGTTATTTAAAATCGAGGCTGAGTGCACGCAAATATTATTTCTTTACAAATTCATTATCGAAAAGGATGCTTATAAAAGCTAAGGAAAAAAAGTTAACGGTTTAGAGTAAACTGTCGTTCAAACAGCGTATCGGAATGTCATCGGTCCTGTTTCCATTATTGACCATTTACTTTGCTTTTAAGCAGGCGTTTAACGAGTAAACGGAGACCCCGGGCCGTTATGCACGTGAAAGTGTGGTCTTAGGAGACCAGTCTCGTCATATTCTTTCTTTTCGCCTTAATATGTCACTGATCAAGGCCAGGACTAGTTAATGTGCAATTCGATGAAATTGCCAAGGCACGCGACCGTAAATATTGCAAATTCCGGTGAATAAAGAAGCGAAGTTTCTTCCTTTTTTTATTTACACGCTCGCAATCTACCGTGCAATGTTATGCTTTAAAAAAAGAAAAAAATTTTGCATTATACAAGCATGTAATCTGAATTAAAATTGAAGAATATATGTATTAAAACATAGAAAGTAAAGACCGACACATTTTAATATAATTAAATAAATAAAGGTTTTTTTATCTAAGTCTGTATATATAAAGTTTATATTGAGATTGACATCTTCAATGTTTATCGATTGAATTATTATTAATATAATAGTTTTTACGCATAAAGGAACGGTATATATGGTGATACAGAATCGCAATTAAGTTGTGTGTCCAAATGGAAGAGATTAACCGATCTTAAATCGTAAATAATTTACATGTCAAATTAATCATTTGCAACTCGAAAAACTCGGTAAACCTTACAAGATCTTTAATTAACATTTAATTTAATTACCTGGCGAGTTTGCTGAGGCCCAATACCTTCTTGCAAGGAAGGTAACCGATCGACACCTTGCCGTAGAATGGTACCAAATGGTGTTCGCACATGGAAAACATCTCAATGTCTTTTACTACTACCATCTCGTCGTGATCCTCATCGAATATCGCGTCGTTAATTATGTCTGTAACAATTATGTCAAAATTTTTTTATTCAACTTAGCCGTAACGATTCGTCAACAAATGTAGAATTTCCAACGAGTTTTATGAATTAATTGAAATTATGTTTCATACATGAGAGAGAGAGAGAGAGAGAGATGTGATCAGATATATCAAAATCTTTGGAAACGTGCAATCCCTTTTAACTTAGTGACATATGAGAACAGCTGATAGCATTATTTCGTGAAAGATGTTCTTTCGTTCTAGTGGGCGGATTATCCTGGTTGTGATTTATTCGATATTGACCTACTTACTACACCATGGATCCTAGTGGTAGTGTATACATACGCATGGACGGTCGGTATATGTCTGTAGCTATATAATGGTGGTGCTACTGGTACTCTCCGACCGTTTCCACGGCAACCTTAACAAGAAACACCCTCGCGATAACCGACAATGATGAATGAAATGGATTCGCCTACCCGCGGTTGATCGTGCTTGAATTTTCCAAATGACAACAGAAAAGACTGACTCTAAATGACAAAATTTCTAACTTGTTGAATTCGATGTATAATCATGGAATAGCTATCAGCACAAACGTGACAGAAATACATTTATCATATATTCCTAGCGAAGTGTACGAAAATTAATCTGATACAATATTTATTTCTCGGGTATAGTCAAGGAATGGATCAGCGACTCTCCTTAAAGTGAAGTCATTTCCTTTCCTCTTGTATCCCCACGGAGGAGATGCTCTCCAACTGTAGAATTCGATTTTATGACCTGGTAGCTTAAACGTGATCGACTTGACCAATTCGATTAACTTTTATGGACTGTATCACGCGTATGGCATTTAAAAAATTCTGCTACGTTAGAAACCTTATGGAATTTATAGACCAAAAAATATATATATCTTTTTATATAACATATATACGTATACATATATAAATATAAATGACTTGTTAAAAGTATTTGAGCGAACAAGCAGTGAGCGAGATAAAAGCCACAAGTGAAATTGTTCGCGCAAAGGAATGAGTCAGTAAGGGTGGTCGAGCTTTCATACGAAAGTGCTTCGTTTCAGACCCCGGGCTGCATCCGTATCGCCGTTAACCGTAAAAGCTTATCTTGAGGGTCTCTCCGTTGTTCAAACCAAAGTAAATTAAAATCTCCCATCCATCACTTATAAGTACTCCTAGTTTCAAGCAGGATCGTTAGATACTTAATTATCACGAGATTCAAGAAAACATTACGCAAACTCAAAATGAAAAGAAGAAAGAGAAATAACTCTTGAATCATCGAGATAAATAAACCTCGATAAATTTAATGAAAAAATTGATATAAAAGAAAATTCTCTCATTTTAATTCATTAAAGATTTTATATGAATTAAATCTCTGTCTCTTCTATCCAAGGATTTTTCTATATACTGTTAATTAAAAGTAAATGCGCATCTAAATATTTTTCGAAAGCCGTTACACGATAAAATGCTATTCAGCATATCGTGCTACATTCCTTTAGATACACAAATTGCGAGAACGAAATCGTCAAATAAGAAAAAGAATTTGTTCTCCGTGTCAACTTCATGATATGCGCAAACTTTTCTCCGAATCTCCGCAAAACCACGTAGTTGTTTAAGCATCGTGACATTTATATTGGATGTACGTGACGCGGAGAAAGAAGAAGAAGAAGGACGTGAAGAGGATTTTCTTTTCAAGTTGTGCCTCGTGCGTCCCTGAGAACTCCATTTATATCAAGAGCTTTACGCTCTCTTTTCTACGAGTCGCACTTAAGTTTCCACCCTCTTACTCCCTCAACGTCCCATTCTTTTTCTCTCCTCTGCTTCCTCATTCTGCTCGCCATAGAGAGCAAGTTAAAAGAAAAAAAAGAAGAAAGAGAGAGTGTGGTACTTTTTTTGCAGAATACAGGCGCAATTCTATAATTTTGTACTATATTATTCGCAATAAAAGAAATCTGGTTAAATCACGCGATGATTTCCCACACACACAGTTAATTACTTTATTATCCTCGTAAATTGTACTCTTGACTTTGATGTAATTACTTCATGTTCACCGCAGAAGCTAATAGGGTTGCGAAATAGGTTCTGGATTTTTCTCATTTTCAATTAATAAAGAACTGCCTCTGCCTCTCTCCTCTCCCCTCCCCCCTCCCCTTATTCTCTCTTTTCGTGATTGCTCAAAATTACTTGAAAAAGTAACCGTTACCATCTAATAGGTTAATGCTATTTATTATGAGCGTACTATTAATATAATTGTTGATAACGTGGATATATCGCAAAAAATTCCAATTTAAAAGAAAGTTCCCTGATGTTGTAACACAATGACGACATATGTATTTATGTCGAAAGTCTTAAATTAGCCAATCTGTGATAATATGTATTTCTTGACTAATGTACCAAAATTAAGGGCACTTTTTTAGGAAATAAAGGCTGTTTCAATAATCTCGCTGGTCGTAAAACGACTCGAAATATTATAACATTCCTTATCACAACGATAGGAAGTCAGCTTTTACAGAAATGGCGACCACCGAACGATCGGCAGCCGTTGCTGTTAAGCAATAGACGATGGATCGCAATCACATGTAATTGCTGCTTGTAGAATTCATACTACACGGATCAAGTGTAACCTTGTATATTAACCTTCAAATCAAGGCTGCACTATTTTCTCTTTTTTTCTGCGCTTATACATCCGCAAGCATATTAGTTTTACAACATTTCCAGTGTCAATTCGAAAGGAGAGCAGTTTAAATAATTTTAAACGTTCTAGTAAACATTCTAACAATTTCGATTATTAATTTTTTTTAGCTGAACGTATTGTGCAAGAACAATTAATTGTGGTTAATTTTAAGGAGTTTTCATTTTTTTATTTTTTTATTTTTTAATATATAAGTAAAACGACATTCAAAATTATCTCAATAAGATTAAATTAATTATTGATATTATGTCATGATACAAAACAAATTAAATAAAAGTATCAGAGTAAGAGAGAGCTCGCAAGAAATATTCTAATAATATATGAATATATATATGTAATAACAATAATAACTTACCATCGAGACTCTGATCATATCCTTTCGTGAAGAAAAGCATGGCCTTTGCGGCGCGTTCCGGCGTTTTCAGAAGTCCTTGTCGTTCCGGATCTTCGCCCAACGAACTCAAGAGTAGCTTATAACTTCGAGACATTTCCGGTATCATCGATTCCCGCGTGGGTGGTCGGTGGTCCAACTCCAAATCGTGATGAAACATACATTTTTCGTGGCCTAGAATGCAAACGAAATACATCAGCACCGATTAACATCAGGAAAATGAAAGCTGGAACAATCGTGAAGACACAGATCGAATTTTCCCGCCAACGATCGTCAAGCATTTTTGATAGATGATAACGCTAAAACGAACGACATATCACATCTTTGTTATCGCGTGTCACGACCCGTGAATCGTGCGCATATTCGCACATAAATGGAATAAAGTACAGTCACACCGGGAATGAATGCATGAATTACGTACATTATGTTGTACACCCAAGGACTCCGATTTTTTCCCTCGGAAATTTTCACAAATTGAGAAATGACTACTTTTCTACATTAATGCTCAAAGTCCGTGCGCGATTAACGACACGACTAAACCTTACGTCCGCTTACAACTAAATTTGACGTAAAGACGAAATAACCTGAATCTTTGGAAGTTTTAAAAAAATAATCGAGAAAAAGAATCTAAGTCCTTGGGTGTACAAGATAAGATTTTTTTTCAATAAACAAAATATTAACTTTTACAATACAAGATACAATTTGATGTCTTATCCGTTCAAACATGGATCATTAGAATCCGTTTGTTTTTTTTTCACCTCCCAGAATCCCATTATAGAGTAACTGTCCTAATTACTGTGCCGATCCCTATTAGTGTGCTTTTGTATTTCGACAAGTCATAAAGGAAACTAGCACAAATAAATAAGAAAAAATATTTCTTCTTGTTAAGTTAAATTATTAATGCATACGATACCGAAGATATTTTATTTTTTGAGTATCAAAGTATTTTAAATATTTTTCAAAAGATATGAAGAATTTATGTGAATCTCTCTCTCTCCAGTAATACATACCGCAATATTTTAAGCTTGTCCCTATTAATGTGCCCTGTATTGGAGCTGAGAACGTTGTGTTATAAGTGTACATTGAAATAAATATAATTGAAATAATGATTTATGTAATATTAACTTAAACAATTAGCTTATTATTAAATTTATTACCTGTTTTAGTAACTAGTAACTATATGTTAAAATGAGTCAAATGTGGATAGACACACAAATTGGGGGCACATTAATAGGGCCACCACCGCTTGGAGGACTCACTAATAAACATGTTTCTTATTTTTGTCAAAAATATTATAAAGTATTAACATTTTTTAGATTAAAGAAATATTATAAGAAAAAGAAATAGTGGAAAACCCCATATTGATTGCAAACAGATAAAATTAAAGCTACAATATTTAATAATTAATTCAGTAATAAGCAAGTTGGCTAAAAGGTATATTAATAGCGACAGTTACTCTCGCACACAGCACTTACAAAGCGTTAATAAAGCGCCAAAAAAAGCGCATATAATCGTTTTTTTAGCGTTTTGCAAGCGCTGCTGTGCTACTTAGGATGGTTCAAAAAATCTTTAAAAATTCACCAACATTCTTTCAACTTTCTAAAATAAATATTAAAACTCCATGGAAAATAATAAAATGTAGTATAATTTATAATTACCGAAAGACTTAAAAAAACTTGCACTAACAGAAATCGCTCGGTCACTACCGTGAAAGTTACATCCCTATAGGCACATAATATTATTTAATATTAAATAATATTTTAGGCATATTTCCAGAATATTAAACGTAACATTTGAAGAATATTTTACTGAAATTATATAATATTAAATAATATTCTTGAAATATTAATGGATGGTCGTATGTCCAATTCTAATAATATTACATGATTATTAAAAGTAACATTATTTAATGTTACTGTAATATTGTATGAACATTAAAAAGTATCATAACAATATTTACTTTAATTTGTAAAATTACACCGATTCAGTTTAAATATATGTTTAAAGACTGAAAATAATTTTGACGTGCAGTTGTAAGACTGGATATACGTAAAATAACATCAAAACGGTGATTATTTAAGCACAAGGCGCAGCATATATTGATAAAATATTTTCGTTACTGGATTGTGAATTCAAACTACACTAATATAAAAATAATTATTTATATAAGTAGACATATAATATCTATAGAATACTCTTATAATATTAAAAAATATTATACAATGTTCTCAAAATATAATAACTTATTTTAATTTTTTTTTTTAATAATATTTATATAACATTCTAGGAATATTTTACGCCTATAGAAATATGACAAAATCATATGTGATGGCAAAATGATATGTCGATAATGAGTCATACGATTCACATATTCGTATGTCATTCATATATCAATCATACACGCGCAACAAAATCTCAAGTAACGTATATTATAAATTTTATATGTCTTATTAGCATATCACGTATGATTTTATCGTATGCGATATGCTAATGAGTCATATAGGATTTATAATATACATTACTTAAGATTTCGTCGTGCGTGTATGACTGATATATAAATGACATGTGACAAAATTACATGCAATATGAATGACGTCTACTTGATTGCGCACGCGCGCGCGCGTGTGTGTGTGTGCGTGCACGCGTGTGTGTGTTATCAATATAAAATATTACGAATATTTAAAGATTTTTCTCAGTTAAGTATGTTTGACAAAACGTATTTCGTAAGATCGTTTATCGTATATGATGGATATGTTTTCATATGAGATCATATACGTTTCTTACACGATAAATTCGCATATTAAATATGTCATATATGTATGTGATTCTATTACTAATTTCTGATTGTGATATACAGGGTGTCCGTCTATAAATATCCGAGTAAATGCAACTGGTTGAAGTTACAAGAAAGTTTAATAAGAAGAATTTGTACGACTCCGAGTCAGCTATAAAGTGCGCGTAAAAATTTGTTTTCTATTCTTGGCTTTTTCGAATTATGTAGGTTAACATAGTTTTTTTTAAATGGATACCTATAATTTTTTTACATATTTGTATAGTAAGGAGCATTTGCAATCAAAATCATATGTAGTAAAAAATTACTACTATGCATGGTTTACGAGATAATCGACATCTTAAGTATTGAATCTTAAGAAGTTGATTTCTATCACAATTTGAAAAACAAGATTCAGACTAATATTTTGAATTCGGTTATGTCAAACAGGATCACCGATCTTCAACTTGTCAAAATACACGACTGCTTGTTTTATGAATAAAGTATTTGTCTAGCATGGAGTACGAAATTCAGTGCCGTATCTGTTAGTCAATCAGTTATCTTTTCAATGAATACATATCATTTTGTGGATTACGAAAATAACGATGTTTACAATTAGTAAAAAGTGTGATATGCTCGAGATGTGGCATTTAAGTATGCGTAATGAAAATGAAGCTCGGCTACTTTATCAATAAAAATATCCAGAACGAAGGATACCAAACGGTCATAATTTCGGCAAGTAGAAAATCAATTACATTGGACAAGATCACTAACAAGACAACGTCCTACAATCAAAACAATCCAAGAAAAAGAGACAAGTGTGCTGTTAAGTTTTATTAAAAACAAATTATCCATATAAAAATAATAACACGTAATTTAGAAGTATCAAGAAGTTCTGTGCACGCTGTATTAAAGAAATACAAATTCAAACCGTTTCGTGATAATTTAGTACAAGTTTTACATGAAGGAGATGCAGATCGCTGATTAATGTTCTGTCACTGGCTTTGAGTTAATTATCGCAACGACATTGATTTTCTTACAAAGATATTATTATGGTCTGACGAATCGTGTTTTTCAAATTGTGGTATGGAAAACCGACATAACACGCATACTTAGTCTCATGTGAATCCACATGCAACAAGAGATAAAGGTTTTCAACGCAGATTTACAGTGAACGTATGATACGGAATCATCGGAACGAAAATTGTTGGATCTTTCTTTTTTCTTGGTTATCTTAATGGTGACAGATATTTAGAATTTTTGCAAATAACTTTTTCAGATTATTTACGCGATCTTCCATTATCAATCTTTCGAGATTTATTTTTCAACAAGATGGAACTCCACCACATAATACACGTGCTGTAGCCAACTTTTTAAATGATAGATTCTCTAATTGTTGGATAGGTACTAATGGCCCTACCTATGGCCACCGAGATCTTGCGGATTTGACACCTTGCAATTTTTTCCTTTGGGAATATATTAAAGACATTGCCTACGCAATTGTTCCTGAAAATGAAGAAGATTTACGACATAAAATCACTAGAGCTGTTAAAGGCATTATAGAAATGCTTCAGTTAACAATGAGAAATATTATAAAATGCGTTAAACGTTGCATTGAACACGATGGTATCATCGATACGAAATAAAATTCTGCTTTCTGATTGGTTGCAGAACGTCGTACGACGCTCATTGGATCTAGTGTGAATCCAGCAATTCTTGGCGGTAGTCCGCATGGATACGTGCTTATTTGGCGATCTTTAGAAAATAATATCCACTACAGTATTGCGAAAATTGCAAAATGGTAAAGGACTTTTCGATTTAGTCCGCTCTACCTGCTCACGAGAAGTGATTTCGCGTAGGTAGGAGATATTCAGTATATGAAATATGTCCAAATATAGACATATTTCATACATATATAATTATATATTATATAATTTTACACAGAGTTGGTTAGTGCTAAATTAAAAAGATAAAAGTTAAGTTAAAAAGTTAAAAAGTTAATTAATTTTAACTTAACTTAGTTATATTTTAGACTTTTAACTTTTTAATTTTATTTAGTTATATCTTATCCGTAATTATTAATTTTTTATTTAATAAAAAATAAAAAAACCGTCGTTTAAAACCAAATTGTATCATTATGTTGATAAGAAATCTAAGTATCAATGAAGGTCTTTGGCAATGGTACTAGATTAATGATTATTAAACTAGCTGATCATTTACTAAAATGCAAAATTTTAACAGGCAACAAAGTAGGAGATATTGTATTTTTGAACCGTGTAACATTATATTGCAAAAATGTATATCCTTTCATTTTTAAAAGAAGACTAGATCCAATAAAATTAGCTTTTGCTACGACTATTAATAAAACACAGGGTCAGACGTTTGACAAAATAGGAATAGATCTTCGCAAAGATTTTTTTAATTAT